TCGTGCAATATTTTGCTAACACTCTCTTCCTCCATTTCAATGTTGCCCTTACCTTTTGAACCATGGTTGTATTCCCTTTCGTTCGAGTGCCCTAAAGATATTATTTGTCTATCAGTGTAACGTGCGCACAAAACGCTTTATATCAAGTTCTGTAACGAGATTTCTTGCAAATTTATCATTATCAGTTTATTTTAGTTTGAATAACTTTTTTCAACTAAATAAATGTAAATATGATGATATGTATTGCCTTAAAGCAGGCCTGACCGTTGTACTATAGTTTCTGGTAGAGAACTTTGATGAACTTCATTAATGTACTCTAGACAATTGACAAGGGACCATGAATGGCCAACTTACTTTCTGTCCCGCAACGTTTTGTAAATAGATGCCTAGTAAATTTATGAGAATCAGATTATATTAGTTGAAATATTTTTGAGCTATATGGTGTTAATGTGATGCGATATATTACGTCAAATAAATGTGGTACTCTTTGCATATATCATATACCAGTTGCCTTACAGACCCTTATATTCCTACTGTAGCATAACTTTTACTCTGCGTGCAGAGGTTTCCTTCTGGCATGGCTATTAGCATTTGTAAAGTCTTTCGCGTGGCGTATCAGTCGAGTAGAATGAGATCGTTTAAACTATCCTGGAAAGCCAAAGGATTATAACCCATAAAACAGAGATAAGACGATTCATTTTTATTTTGAATTCACGCTTTATATTATTATTTATGGAAATACAAGAATATTTTTTGCATTTCCTTGCATACTCTTAATACATTTTGCTAGCCTCTTCCAGGCCTTCAGACTGGATCACTGGGATACCAGGGCAAAGAAATATGAGCAGGAAAAAACAGCGAGGGGTGGGGTAGGGATAGAGGGCGCGCTTGTCTCCCTCTGCTCACCATTTTAGGTAGCCTCCCCACAGACGTCCTTTGGGGTTCGTTTGTCACGCATTCATTTCATTGAATGCGTGACAAACGAACCCCAAAGGACGTCTGCGGGGTGGCTACATTTTAGGTCACTCACCACTATCTGAACGCCTAGTGTAGAACAGGCTAACGTTTTGCGTATAGGGAGCGTAATAAGCAACAACGACGACGACGGCTACGTACACGCCCAGGGGGTACTCCGGTTTTCAAACGACAGGGGTGATCGAATCGGCGCAAAAATCAAAACCCAAAAAAGTCCCTAGGGCTACCCCAAAAAATACTTGACAAAATTTTTGAAAATTTCAAAGCCCAAGAAATCCTTCGATCATCCCTGTCACTTGAAATCCAGATCTACCCCCCCCCCACCCCCACTGGGGTCTTCCACAAGTTGCTCGGTAACTTTTTGAATTCTGAGCAATTTCTCAAGTTATCTTCTAATTTGAGCCGTATCGGAGCAGCTTTTAGGGCTTAAATTGGCCTTTCTTCCATATTTCACAATGTTTAAGTAGCCAATGTATGAATTTATTGTAAAAAAAAAAAGGAGCTAAATCCTCACCCCTAGGGCAGATCATGGGGGAAAGATGAAAGTAGCCGGGCTAGGTGAGTGGTTTTTAGGGAAAATTCAAAATTGTGGACGAATATTCACACTCGACTGACTTGCTTGAGTGTCTCGAGTGAGGAAGGTCGTCCAACAATTTTATTGGCTCATTACAATTTTTGGTTCTATATGAGGCAAAGCAGGTTACGCCGCAAAATTGCACAAAAATGCCTTGAAATCTTACCTTTTTTCTACAGTTTGCATATTTTACCATCAGATCAAAGAAAATTTTGTTTTCGAGTACTTTTTGGGCAACTTTTTAAGAAATTACGGGAACTTTTTTGGAAAATCTCGAGCAACTTGTGGAAAGCCTTGATACACGAGCAGGGCTGTTATTTTGCTCATATAAGGGACGGACTATTCTTTTTCTGGAGCGGGCAGATGAGAAATATTGACAAAAATTGTTTGCAGGGTTTGAAAAGACCAAATAAATTGTTTGCAAACGTGATAGGGTAAGAAAAAAATGTTTGCAGAGATGTCATTCTCTCTTGCAGAAGATAATTTCTCATCACCCCCCCCCCCCCCCCCCCCCCCCCCCCCCGACCCACAAACCACACCCACCTCTGCATGTCTGTGACGGTTTTGATTCTAGGGAAGAAGAAAAAATTGTATAGAAATGTTGTAAGGGTTGAAAAACAAAAAAAACATTTGTTGCAAACGCGATGAGGAAAAAAAAAAATTGTTTCGAGGGCCTTTCTCTCCCTTCAAAAAAAATATTTCCCCCCCCCCCCCCCCCCCCCCTCCCTCCGTCCTACAGAAAAACAGTCCGTCCAACCATTTGTCGTCGTTGCGGCTGCTTAATATCATCTTACGAAAAATAAACTTACTTTTCCATTACTCTTACCAAAGCCGCCTGGGCTAGCCCGCGCAGGAAAAGGATATGTATGCTCCTATATCGCGTCTCATGAAATACATGTGATTCATCGAACTTGTTTTCAGTCGATCTCACCCTAAATAAACTCAAGTATTTCATAAAATGGTAGATTCCCCGATTAGTATCATTTACTCCTCACGGGGGGTAGGGTGGACGTAATCAAACGTAAACTTCACATTCCCGACGTAGCCTGACGCAGATAGCAAGAAACCAAGGCAGCCAGGACACCATAGACATTATTCATATTCAGTTTGGAAGAAAAACTCCTTATCAGAGAAGAATAATATGCTGATAATAGATAAAGTGGAAAGGTTTCTTCAGAGGGGTCGGGAAAATATTTTTATCGTTTCCGTGAAAAGCGGAACTCAGATCACCTAAAAAACGTCCATTGTTCTCCTCGAATTCAGTCATGGCTTCCATCAGCCCATTCAATATACTTCTTAATAGACTCAGTAATAACATGAGCACAATGAATCTACAAAGTTTAGTTGATGTTTGCGGAGAGGAGTTCATCTCTGAGCCAGAACGCGAGAAAATCTTGAAAGACCCTGAATATGGCCGTCGGGAAGTATTCAAAATTCTCCGAAGAAGAAACGCAATTGGAGATGCGCCTAGAAAGATGGCGTTTTTGCTTAGGATTATAAAGGAATTGAGGCCCAAGAGACCAGATCTGGTCAACATGGTTAAAACGTACATAGAAGACCATTACGAAGAACCACCCGAGATACTGAACGATTTTGAATTTAGCTCGGATGACTATGTCATAATTCCACGACCTTCATCGACTATCCCGGAAGTAGACTGCTGTGGCAAAGACTGCTGCAATGTTCGCTGTGGCTGTTGCAGCTGTAACTGCGGCTGCAATCCTTGCTGCAGCACGTTTTGCTGTGTTATGTTGGTGGCATCGTTGTTGGTATTTACTACATTCGTGATTGTGTTGTTTTGGTACATTCTTCCTTTCTCCAGCCAACCCTTGAATGAGAATGATAACTTTAAAGTTGTCGGTCGGGTTATGCTCTGCGTTTTGCTTTTTGTCGCCATTTGCTTCATCGTATTTGGTGTTTACATTAAAAGAAGGAAGACCGAACTGTCTTATTTAGAGCTCCAAGGTGACATCAGCCCTGACTATGGAAGCGTTAACAGCTCGTCAGACTCAACCCGACCGACTTGTCCAGTGTATGTAAAGAAGATTGATCGAGGAAACGGACGCAGATGTTCTTGTAGTTCCGGCCACATTACAGCCTCAAGTTCATATGATTCCTTGAACTCGGCTCGTGGCAATCGGCCGATTCCCGAAGCCGCTGTGGTTACCGATGGCTACAGGAAGCGGGATGTTGATTTTCCTCGAGAAATGGAACAAGCACAAGAGGACGAAACGACCATTTGTTAGAGCCTAGGGGAGCTTAGAGAAAACCCAGAAAACCGCGACAGAAATCTGTCTTATTGGCCCAAATATTTGTGTAATAAGTTTTGTACTGCTTACAGCGATTAATAACTATTCAGTTATCTTATAGAGACATGAAATATTGTAATTTATCACCGGATCTCACTGCACAAGACAGACCCAGAAAGACAGCTAAGACTCAGGACTCATAATCACAAACTTAAGTTGCTGGTGGCCATGGGCACAAGCTATTTTGTTTCAACTTTTGTAACTGGTGTCTTATTTCATTTGTAATATGTTAATCTTAAGAAACATTATGGGGTAGCTTTACTTGGGGTACATAGGATATGTTTCTAGTAAAAGCCTTTTTGTTGAGAGTTATGGTTGCCTATTAGAACGCAAGAGTGTAGCTACCCCCGGGGAGATACTCAAGAAAGTTTTATCCCATCTCTTATCCTTTATACCATTTTTGACAGGATCCTTTTTAATGCTTTTAATGCTGTAAATATGAATTAATCACAAAACCAGAACGTTTTCTCGACTTTTTCACAGAGATAAAATGAATCTGTTAGACCTTTCGGGCCTTTTACAGACTGCAATCATAGATTTCTCTACCCCTTTCTATACTTCAGCAAGTGAAATTCCTGACCCTTTCCGGGGGAGCCTCCCCGTATAGACCATTATAGGGAAGTACACCCCCCCCCAACCCCGCCTCCCTGGGGTAGCAAGTGGCCTGGTGGCCTACTATTATCTTCCCTGCAAATATATATTTTTTTGGTAGTTGTCACCGAATTGTATCTTGGATCCAATGGCATGTGTCTGATTTTAAGCTATCGAAAGTACACGGTTTTTGAGGGATAAGTTGGGATCTGGTGTGATTCAAAGGGATTTTGAATTTCTCCAAAGAAATAAGCGAGCGAACACTACGAAGAAGAGGCGAGGAGGTTGACTCTCTTCAAGCTTTTTGTATAACACTGTCGGCAAGGAATTGAGCCCAACTGAGAGAGAATTTGACCGCCCTGTACATGATGCTGTGTTCTCAAATTAAAGCCCCCGTCTCCGTCAGAGATTGATCAATGATCTCTTCTTTCCTTTGTTATTAATTTTTCTCTTGTACATGCAGCCTTCCCCTCCCCCCCCCCCTTACCTTTCTCCACCTACTCCCTCACCCCTTCTGAGCTCATGGTACCTGAGATCAGACCCAATTTTAGCGGTTCTCATACATTCTCTCTTACGGCTACCGCTAAAATTGGTTTCGCCTTGCCCGCCGGAATGTTATTACAAAGCGAAACGAAAATTGAGCCTGATCTCAGGTTAACAGGAGCTTTCCATAAATGTGGACATTGGTCAAATTCAATAGATGAACGAATAAGGGGATTACCCTGACATAATTGTGACCATGATTCTTCCACAGACGGGTAGCGTAAGTGTGCAGTTTTTGTACCTTTTCTTTACTTAGTTTACATCCGACAGAATCGCAAACAAGGAACAAACAAAACGACCAAGTGAACGTACAAACAGAGATTGAGATTTATTTCTTGAAAGGAAACATTTGCTCTCCAGTAACAGACTTACGTCAACGAGGTATCCTTACAGGAGCACGGACGGGCGCAATTGTTTTTCCGAGAAGTTTAATGGCGGAGGCTTGAAACAGCGCTGTTCTGTTTATCTGGAAATCTTTGTAGTCAGCTCCGCAAAATCAATATTCTTCAAATAGCAGCCATGGGCTCAGTAGATCCGGCACGCATTGATCCATTTAGGCTTCTTCTAAACCAACAAAGCGGCGAACTAAGGCATGATAATCTGAAAAGTTTAGTATTTATTTGTGGAGACCATATCCCTGGCGGTCAACGAGAACAAATCTCATGCGGCTGGGAGTTGTTCAGTCTACTTCGTCAACAAAACATGATCGGAGGAGAACCGAGACAAGTAGCTTACTTGCTTAGGATTATACAGCAAATGAAGCCTGGACGAAAGGATTTGGTGCATAAAGTCAAGGGGTACATTGAATGCACCTATGAAGAATCAGAGAAGCAAATGATATTAAACGAGGTGGAATCTATCCCTAAAAGCCCATCCAGGCAGTTGCCGTCTTCTCCGCCAGCCTCTGCTGAGTGCTGTAATGTTCGCTGTGGTTGTTTCAGCTGCAATTGTGATCCTTGCTGCAGTGGTTCTTGCTGCTGTGTGATCGTGGCAATTTTGATGATATTCTTTGGAGTCACGGCCGCGTTGTTGTGGTACACAAATGTTTTTCCCGAAGTCTCCAAACATCTAAATTCCATCTCCAATGAAAATTTGGCGCATGCAGGATAGGTCATTTTCGGAGCTTTGGGTTTCATCGCGATTTGCTGTATTTCGTGTGGTATTTACATCCGACGAAGAAGTCGAATTGATAACTCAGCCGAATCAGTAGACCGCCCTGCAGATGCTGATGTCGAAAGCGTTGATTCCGCTTTCGACATTACAGCTTCAAATTCATGTGCTTCCTTTTCCTCGGCCCGTACTGCATAGTAAGGCAAACCAGAGTGTTGATTCATAAGTAACTCACTCGGATCAGTATACTTAGGATTCCGAGGAAATCTCCTCACGTACCACTCCCCTAACCTAACGTTGGGGAAGAGGTATGTGAGCACTGGCAATTTGTCCACGTAATCCGTGGCCCAGTGTAAAGCTAATCTACATCGTTGACCCCCCTATGTTGGGAGTTATTACGTGCGTGCTGGCAGTGGTGTGCAAAGCGGTGCAAATCTTTGCAACAATTCAAGAAGATGCTGAGCAATGGGGGATCCAGGGGAGACCAAACTGAGGCCCGAAGGACCGAAAAAAATTTTTTGAGTCCAAGCCTCCCGCTTCTCCAAGGGTCTGGATGACCGGGCCTTCCCCCCCTCCCCCCTCTCCTAAGGACTGTTATTCTGTAATTTTGCTGTATAGTACATATTTCAACTATCTGTCATTTCATGTTTGGTTATATTCTCACGTCTTTAATTTTTTTTTTTTTTTCGGTTATTCATCAGGACCCCCGTTGATATCAGCCCTGCTGCAGGGGCAAATCCTGTATAAATATAGGCGAACGGATGCAACAACTCCCAACAATGTTAAGAACTGCAGTGCATCGTGGGAAGGATGCAACCAATAAGACTTTGTAAAACCATGTCAATGCGCGCGCGTGGCCCCAACAAGGATGGAAGAGCTGTGCAAACCGATCGAACATTGTTGCGCTACGTTTCAGCGATCACGGAAGAAAGGAAATTTTAGGAGTTGTTGGCTCAAAAGTTTGACCCGTTTCAAACTTCGCTCAGCAACTCCCAACAACACGCAGCCACATGCAACAACATGCAACAGGGTGTGCAAACGGACGCGACATGTAACTTAACACCCATCGTTGGGAGTTGTTGGCCAACAACGTTGCGTCCGTTTGCAGGGGGACTAATAGGTTATCTCAATTGACACTACTGATCAGCTCAATTAATTCCACTTTTGTAGAGGGCGACGGGTTTATCTACTATCTACTAGTCCTACTACTGTATGTTAAGAATCAGATCAATAGCAGAGGGTATAATGAGTCCGCATGCATGGTTATCCTTTAGTTTTGGACAGTTTGCTTTCATGGATTCGTATAAATAGTTCTCAGGGATGCTAGGGTTCTAAAACGTGTTCATTATTGATTATTATTCATTGGGATGATTGAATTGGGTTGATTAGTTTAACGTCGAACAAAACTAGTCAAAATCAGAATAAAGGTTGTCAAGTTAAGTTGTGCAAACACGTTGTGGACCGATCTGACAAAGTTTAAGCGTTTACTTGCCTTCACGATGCTGCTATCCAAAGGAAATTTCCACGATTAATACAAACCATGAAAGAGGAAAGAAATTGTTCGCTGAGAGCGTCACTACTATCTGCAACGAGACACAAAGGGTGATGATAATGTTTACCAAAGTGAAAAATTTGTGAGAATTGTTCTTGACTAATTCGTTGCTTGCAAACAGTCGTGTCTTGATCTGTATTATTCTTGGTATTTCTTGAACTTTAAAACTTTTAATTTCAGGTTTAGGGATTATGCTAAAAGTCTTTTTGGCTTGGATTTTTTTTGTTGATTTTTGTTGCTTGCTCATTGATTTGCAAATAAGGTGAAAATTTCGTATAAATTTTCATGCTCATTCGTATTTTTATCTGAAACTCTGGTTCACCCTTATTAGCACTCCATTGATTCAGTCATTCACAGCCTCCTATAGATCATTGTCACTCACGTGGCCAGCAGCTATGCAAATTTATTGCAACAAAAGAAAGTTTATACATGGCTTTATACAACAGGGGTCTTTTTTGCATGAGCATGCGCGACCGCTGAACAAGCGATGTGCATGGAGGCTTACTACAGGGTTTGCCTTCATCAAAATGGCGCGTCTCAAAGCAATCATAGCGATTAATTTGCTCATTGGTCTTAGCGAATGTGCTCGTGATTTAACAAAATGCGTAGTTTGCAAAAAAAACTCTAACATAGTCTTAACAAAAGCGAAGTAGACCGGCTTTAACATACACGAGCTACTATCAAATTTCATCTCCCCACTTGACCTGGACAACGGCGCGCGTATATGTAGTGCCTGGAGGATTGCGCTGACCTCATCAAAGTCTAAACAAAGTGCAGAAACGTTTGTTGATGCAAGTAAACACTTTCAATTTTCTTTTTTTTGAGATTGGAAAGGAAGAGAAATATTAAAAAAAAACATAGCAAATTTCAGCGAGTGGGTTCGAAGTGCGCGAAAGCCGATGTTCAGTTCAGCAATGAATTAATATATGTTCTACAATTTTCCCAACACTTGAAAGCTACAAAATTGAAAGCACACGAGACGTAGATTAGTCACCTGGCGAGATGTTGGTGGTAGTCACTCGGTATGTCTCGAACAATAAAAAAAATGAATGTCAATGAGACACAGTCAAAACTGCATTCAATAGGACCGAAATTAAAGTCCCATCTTGTGACCGATTTTGATGAAACAAACGGTTAGGTTTCCCAAGAAGTACAGTAAACATGTGATGCCGACCAAAAGTTAAAAATCCTTAGAACATTTAAGTTCTGGCTAAAAGCAAATTCCTGTAAAAGATGCGTTACAAGGTTAGTCCACGCAAAAACAAGGAGTTCTATAATTTTCCCATAAACAAACTTTGTATCGCTAAAATACTTAAGGCAAAAACTTTCTATTTCAACTGAAAACGGCGTGGTAGTCGCCCGCTGATCATTATTAATCCTCTCCCGAAATATGGCTAAATCAGCTATTAACAAATTATTGACAGAAATCCTCTACGGCATCGAGAAACTGATTTACATCCGATTTATAGACAAACACCAAATAAAGAACATTTTGCTCAATAGCTACGCATCAGCAATGCATTCTATGCCAAACTTTGCGGTTCTTAAAGGGGAATCAAGACACGAGTCGAGCGCCAAACAACAACAAGCAGCCATGTTCGTGTCAAACATCCTTGAGAAACTTGCTCTTTCACCTCGTTCAGCGCATCAGTCTCCACTTTAAATCAACAGATCTTTACTTATTTTGTACAACGAAGGTTTTTCCTAAGTTCCTGCTACCATTTCAATCTCAAGCAAGCTTTCAAAGTGAACAATTTGGTTCCTATGACTATGCAGCACGGTCGCTGTCAGTGGTCGCGTGCTCTTTGACAAGTCAGCGGTCGCGCATGCTCATGCAAAAAAGACCCCTGTTGGCTTTATACATAAGAAAAAAGTTCAACTCCAATCCCACAGGACTGGTTTCAGCTGTGGTTTGTAACACCAACATGGCCGCCGTTTCATTGTTTTGGAACACCGACATGGCGGACGTGACGTCATGTGAAAACGCTTTTTAGACCTCTTTAGCTTGTAATGTTCGTAATGTTCTGTTTTCCTAATGAGGGGCTCAGGGGAATTTGCCCCTTTTAATTTTTTCATAAATTATGCATACATATGCATGTGAATAAGACAAATTTGAAGGAAACGTTTCTCAAGAATATCATCACATGACCTACATTGGGAAAACAGAACATGCAAACTAAAGAGGTCTATCATCCTTGGCGAATTCAAATCCTCACGAGGTATTGGTATTGGTATTGGTCCTTGCACGCGATTATCGGCCGGTCCGTGCATTGAATTGGACATTATGTCTACTGAATATTTATGAAATTTGAAGACTTGAAATTATACCGTCCTCAAGTTTTCGTTAAGAAGAAGAAAATAATAAAGTAGAAGGGGTTCAAGCGAGGGTTGTTACAGTTTCACTGTTACACTGCCGGATCTCCCTGGTACGATACTACTCTTTCTTAGGTGTCAAGAATGTCAAAAAAGTGTATAGAGCGCTCACAATTTAGGGCCAAAATAATGGAAATTAAGGTCGCGTAAATAAATTCATACAAACATTAACGCGACTTAAATTAAACTACGTTTTGAGATTCCCCTTTAATTAATTTCAAGAAGTGTTAATTTTCAGGTATGAAACAATGCATTACTAGGGTCATTTTGATTTAAAATGTTGGAATTCTGATTGTTTCCCACATTTCTTTTAACACTGTATGATAGAAGGGAGGCAACTGCGGCAGTTGTTCGATGAAATACGTGCTAATCAATCTCACAGTCTCCACAAACTACTTCTGAATAATTACCAGCCAAGCTACTCTCTGAGAGTACAAATAACATTTATTCGTTCAAAGTGTAAAACTGAAAGATGCAAGAATAGTTTTCTTTTAAGTTATGTTTGAGTAGTTAAGAACTAGATATAATTTTGTTTCTTATTGTATATAGGAACTTGACGCATGCTTTTGAACTTGTGATTTTATAAACGGATTTAAAAACGTAAATTATGATGGGTCATCTTTCTTTAATTAGTTGTAATTTAGTACAGTTGTAAATTATTTCATTTGTAAACCTTATCGCATTTCAGCTCTTGGCTGCAAGTTTTTAAGGTGAAGAACTATCTATCTATCTATCCGTAAAAGGGAATATAGGTGGCCTGCGTAGAATGCGTTTCCGCGCGAGGTCTTTGCAACTCTTTGAAACAGAACCATAAAGGATGGAAGAGAGGGGTGAGAAATACTTTACACGCAGGATATTCGACAAACATTAATCTTTTTTCTGGTCAGTGACGCTTTCAACCGGTAGGTACCTCATGTATGGGGACATATATTGTACCGACTCAACCCATTTCACTTGAATCCGTTGTCTCTTTGTTGACTGCTTACTGTTTCCACCTTTTAGACCTTACTCTTATTACCTTGTTACTCTGTTACCCTGTTTCCTTGTTATTGTTACCTTGTTCCTCCGTTACCATGTTACTCTGTTAACTTGTTACTCTATTACCTTGTTACCTTGTTACTCTGTTTCCTTGTTACTCTGTTACCTTGTTACTCTGTTTCCTTGTTACTCTGTTACCTTGTTACCCTGTTACCTTGTTACTCTGTCACCTTGTTACCCTGTTACCTTGTTACTCTGTTACTCTGTTACCCTTTTACCCTGTTACCTTGTTACTCTGTTACCTTGTTACCCTGTTACCTTGATACTCTGTTACCTTGTTACTTTGTTACCCTGTTACCTTGTTACCCTGTTACCTTGTTACTCTGTTTCCTTGTTACCCTGTTACCTTGTTACTCTGTTTCCTTGTTACTCTGTTACCTTGTTACCCTGTTACCTTGTTACTCTGTTACCTTGTTACTCTGTTACCTTGTTACCCTGTTACCTTGTTACTCTATTACTCTGTTACCCTTTTACCCTGTTACCTTGTTACTCTGTTTCCTTGTTACTCTGTTACCTTGTTACCCTGTTACCTTGTTACTCTGTTACCTTGTTACTCTGTTACCTTGCTACCCTGTTACCTTGTTACTCTATTACTCTGTTACCCTTTTACCCTGTTACCCTGTTACCCTGTTACTTTGATACTCTGTTACCTTGTTACCCTGTTACTTTGCTGCTCTGTTATAATTACCTTGTCACTCTGTTACCTTGTTGCTCTGTCCCCTTGTTACTCTGTCCCAATGATTCAGAGGCGTGTGACATTATTTTGCAAATTGGCTATCTTTTGAGTCGTAATGAGGTTAAGTGAGAATTTCACCGTAATATTTCCAAAATAACGCTGTGATGATGAGCACAGTAATGCAAGCTGTAAACAATGACTTGGAAGCGTCTGACACCATTTTCGAAATTGAACATATTTTGTTTCGTAACATCGTTAGGTAAGGATATCACCGTAAGAGCTCCCAAATGTCTGTGTGATGATAAGCACCATTAGATTAGCTAGAAACGATGATTGAGAGGCCTGTGAGAGTATTTTCAGTATTTTGGAAAGTGGCCATCTTTTGGGTCGTATAGGGTTAATTGAGGATTTGAGCATAAGACCTCCAAATGTCGCTCTGATGATAAGCACTGTAAGACAACAGGGTAAGAGTAACAGGGTAAGAAGGTAACAGAGTAACAAGGTAACGAGGAAACAGAGTAACAAGGTAACGAAGTAACAAGGTAATTAGGTAACAGGGTAAAAAGGCAACAGAGTAACAAGGTAACAGAGTAACAAGGTAACAAGGTAACAAGGTAACAGGGTAAAAAGGTAACAGAGTAACAAGGTAGCGGAGTAACAAGGTAACAAGGTAACAGGGTAACAGGTAACAGAGTAACAAGGTAACAAGGAAACAGAGTAACAAGGTAACATGGTAACTGGATAACAAGGTAACAGGGTAACCAGGGCCGTAGCCAGGAAGAAACTACAACCGAGGCGAACACACGATCCGTTGTACGAAATCAGCCGTATGAAATCTTCTAATATTATCAGTCTGATAAAAAAAATAAAAATCGACAGTTTTGGTAAAATTTTACCGAGGCGAGTGCCTCGGTTCGCCTCATACTGGCTACGGCGGTGGTAACAAGGCAACCAGGTAACAGGGTAAGAAGGTAACAAGGTAACAGAGTATCAAGGTAACAAGGTAACAGAGTAACAAGGTAACATGGTAACAAGGTAACAAGGTAACAGGGTAACAAGGTAACAGAGTAACAAGGTAACAGAGTGACAGAGTAACAAGGTAACAAGGTAACAGGGAAACAAGGTATCAAGAAAAAAAGGGAAGGTATAACTTATGCAAGTTAAATCGGTACAATATATGTCCCCATACATTAAGTACCTACCGTGCAACTGCGTTCCCAGGTTCTCTCTCCTAATAGGAGAGAAGCCTGGAAACGAGGTTCCCCCTAGTGCACTCCCTGACTGAATCTTGGCGAGACTGAATACATCGATGTTACTGCGTGACAGGGACAATGCATAACGGAAACGGCATCACCACCGTATCGGCCGGGTATTAGTTTCTAAGGTTTTTGACGCATTGAATCCATTTTGTTTTTCTTCATTTAACTGACACCTGTTCATCGTTTTACCAACGTAATTTCAGGCAGTTTTTAAATTAAAATACTGGAAGGGCGAAATATTACGTTGGGGTGCAAGATTAAAGAGGTGATGTGACGGACGGATTGAACATCACTGTTCTTGATTGAACTGTTCCCAGTCTCCTATTCGTAAGATCGTTAGGATCGGGTGCTTATCGGTACGGGCGACCATCTTGGTTTCATAATTATAGAGGGGGCGGAAGTCTGCGTTTATAGCGGTGGGAGGAGGGCAGCGAGAACACCCTCCCAGACCGTTCCCCGCCTCGTATGTGGATTTGACACTCATCCCCAGAGGACTCAGAACATTTGGCACCAGGATGGCCGCCTGTAACGCAAGCGCACGATCTCGACAATCTTACGAAAACATAGGGGACTGTCAACAGTCTAAAATTTTTTTTGTCCTTCAGTTTTCTCCTTCCTTTCCTCCTTCTTCCACTTTGATTTCTGTAGAGGAAACATCCTGCTGCGAGCCACTATAGGGGGCGTCGTTAGCGTAGGTAAGTGGTGGTGGAGTCCCATATGAATTGGATCGTGTAATGCCGCCGGAACTACAAGAATAGTCCCGTCTTCGGCTGGGGCGATCAATCTTCTTTACGTATCCGGAATAGCTTGTTCGGGTTGAATCCGAACCTGGGTAACGGCTACCAGGGACTACCTCAGTACTTCTGGCATCGTTTATGCTTGAGAGTTTTGAATAAGATATGTTATTTCTCCCTTTCTTTACACTTGTGTAGATCACAGATAAAACGGAACAAATGGTAAAAAATGCTAGAATGCCAATGACCACTGGGCCTGCGTCTTTCAAATCATCCTTAGAATGCAGATAATTGTAGACACTAGGAAAATGTCGCGTGTACCAGAATACTGAGGCCATAACGACCAAAAAAATGAAGGAAACTGTCAAGAGCAGACAGCACGAAAAGGCACTGCAACAGGGAATGCAAACACAGTTCAAACAACAACAGCGCGCAGCACAGCATTCGTTATGATCCATAACGACAGGCGTTGGAGATCGCGAAATGGCATAACCATCTGAACTAGAATCCACGTCATCCAATATCTCCTCTGGCGCTTCATAATTTTGTTTAATATGCCTCTTAACCATGCTAACCAAATCTCTCCTCCTGGGTCGTAGTTCTTTGATAATTCCGAGCAAGAAGGCCATCTTAGGGGGGTCTTCTCCGATCACATTACGGTGTAGTAAAATGCTAAACACATCCAATCCAGAGCAGATCGTCTCGCGCTGTCCGCCAGGGATAAGCTCTCTGCAAACGTGCATTAAACTTCGTAGATTCGCTTGATCTAATTCGCTACTGAGGTCGTTCAGAAGAATATTGAATTCGCTGATTTTAGAAACCATAGTTGGCTGTCGGCAGTGTATCGAGTGTAAACTTTGGACCATAATGAATTCACTTCCGCATGAGGAGCCGCGTAAAGCCCCTTTTCTAATTATCTTGAGTGACGGTTGCTATACTCAATTTCCTGTTAGAATTTTACCTCCGACCTCGTGCATGTTAGCAGGGGTCAGATTAGCTGTCATCGGTAGTGATCTTCACAGAGGCGATGAAACAATTCTAAATTTCGCAACTGTCTGTTAATATGGTTAAAACAATACAAGGTGGGGTAAATACATGTAAATAAAGTCGAGCGCGGTCTTTTCAACTATTCTCCGGATCGGATCAGCCCGATCAAGCCACCTTGTATGGAGTATATGTGGGTTACTTTTTGCCGTTTCCTGGTCGAGAATTTCTGTGTTGATTCGCGATCAAAATCGCTTCCCTTAGAAGCGATTGGTATTTCAAGAACATTTAAACAGATCGGACAGGTTAGGAGAATTCAAGCTTCTCTTCTGAAAACC